AATTCAACCATGAGGTCATCTTGCCCTGTGTTTTCCTTTAATAGGAGATTTTTAATTACTGATTCAATCTCATTACTCAGTATCAGTCTGTTCAGACTTCCTATTTCTTCATGATTCAGTATAGGTAGGTTGTAGGTTTCTAGGAGTGTGTCCATTCGTCCTAGGTTGTCCACTTTTGTGGTGTGTAATTATTCACTGTAGTCTCTTATGATCCTTTGTATTTCTGTTATCAGAAATATATCTCCTCTTTCATTTCTATTATTTGAGTACTCTTTCTTTTTTCTCAGTCTAGCTAAAGGTTTGTCAACTTTGTTTAGCTTTTCTAAAAACCAAGGAGTTTGAGGCAACAGTGGGCCATGATCATGCCGTGTAGAAAAAATATGGATATTAGGAGGAGCCTGTGGCTCAAAGGAGTAGGGCGCTGGCCTCATATACTGAAGGTGGCAGGTTCAAACCTGGCCCAGGCCAAAAACAGCAAAAAAAAAAAAAAAAAGAAAAAAAAAGAAAAAAGAAAAGGGGTATCATAGCATCATTCATTTAAAAGATTTTTGTTTCCTCACTTGTTGCTTTGGCATCTTTGTAAAATATCAAACTATTTTATTTTTATTTATTTAGTTTGTTTTTCTTTTTTTTGACAGAGTTTCACTATGTCATTCTCGGTAGAGTACCATTGTGTCACAGCTCACAGCAACCTTAAACTCTTGGGTTTAAGTGATTCTCTTGTCTCAGCCTCCCGAGTAGCTGTGACTGCAGCCATCCACCACAATGCCTGGTTATTTTTTGTTGTTGTTGTTGTTGTAGTTGTCATTGTTTGGCAGGCCTCAGCTGGGCTCAAACTCACCAGCCCCAGTATGTGTGGCTGGCGCCCTATCTGCTGAGCTACAGGCACCAATCTTAGTTTTGTTTTTTTAAACTATTTTATATTTATATTAATTTTTTCTACAGACAGTCCTCAGTTTATGATGGTTCAACTTAAAAGACTTATGATGGTTGGCTTGGCACCTGTAGCTCAAGCTGCTAAGGCGCCAGCCACATACACCAGAGCTGGCGGGTTCAAATCCAGCCCGGGCCTGCCAAACAATGACAACAACAACAACAACAACAACAACAAAATAACCAGGCATTGTGGCGGGCACCTGTAGTCCCAAAAAATAGCTGGGTGTGTGGCGGGCACCTGTAATCCCAGCTACTTGGGAGGCTGAGGCAAAAGAATCGCTTAAGCCTAGGAGTTGGAGGTTGCTGTGAGCTGCGATGCCATAGCACTCTACCCAGGGCAACAGATTGAGGTTCTGTCTCAAAAAACAAAACAAAACAAAACAAACAAAAACACTTATGATGGTGTGAAAGCTGTATATGCATTTAGTATGCTCCCAACCTACGATGGGGTTATATCCAGATAAGCACATTTAAGTAGAAAACACGGTATTCTAGATTGAAAATGTACTTTTAATTTAGCACATTTTCAGTTTATAATGGGTTTATTGGAATAGAACACCTTTGTAAGTTGAGGAGCATTTGTATTTATAAAACGTTTTCACTTAGATTCTCTTAGCATTCTCTCACTGGGGATAGGTGGGCATATTCTCCTTGTTTTACCGTTGAGAAAACCAGGGCTCAGAGCAGTCAAAAAGTATTCTCAGGGGTCACAAGACCAAAGACTTGAACCTAGAACTATCATCAAATCATAAAGAATTGTTTTCATAATAAGCCTCTTTTATTCAGTGGAAATATTAAACAGATGTGTTTTCTCAGAGTGATAGGATAACAGAAATGAGTCAGTGCACATTTTTATATTTTAACACTAGTGGTATTTTTAGACTGTCAGCCAAACACATGCTTCCTTCCTAGGCTTGTATATTGTCAGAAGCAATCTTTATATTATGTATCTCCATGTTTTGAAAGGGTAAAAAGTATACTTGCTTCATAAAACTGGGTAAAAATAATAGGTATTAGACAAAGTTGTTTGGACTTTAAAATAGAGAATGTATTTCCCTATCTCTGATCGATTTTATTATTATATTTTTAGATAAAGTCTCACTCTGCTGCCTCCGGTAGAGTGCTGTGGCATCATAGCTCACAGAAACCTCAAACTCCTGGCCTCAAGAGATCCTCTGGGCTTGGCTCCTATAGCTCAACCAGCTAAGGCGCCAGCCATGTACACCTAAGGTGGTGGGTTCGAATCCCCAGCCCAGACCCGCCAAACAACAATGACGGCTGCAACCAAAAAATAGCCGGACGTTGTGGCCGGCGCCTGT